CTAGAGATCGTTTTTCCTTGAGAAAGACGCCACGTCCGGCCTTCTGAGAGGCGCGATATTCTTTGATGATTGGAGTGTCAATATTTCCTTCTTGTTCCGTTGGCCTGTAACGATGCCAATAATTCTGATCGCTTTATCCTTCGCGCACGAAGGCACTAATAATGAAATTGAAGCAGTGTGGGTAGAAATCACTGCAAAGGCAAATTATGACTGTTCTTCGGTTGAACTGCCCTTTAATCTGAATGTCTTTCCAAATCAAAATACAAATTTTCGATTTAGGTGAAGCGATGTGTTACATCTACATATTCATGTTGCACTTCATTCCTTGTCTAAGCGTCGGAATATTGGTATGCGTATCTATAGAAAAATACTTAGGTGAGTTTGTGGAGTCACTGTTTATAACTGCTGACAATGAGAGCATTGACAACTACCAGGGTCTCTTGATGAAGGGAAAATCGAATTATTTTTCTCCAATTTCCTGGGGAAGGTAGGATCTATCGTGATGGGTTTCCTGTGTATGACACAATAGGATGCCCAGGATCTAATCTGCATACCGCACTATATTTTGAGTCATGGTCCTGGTGCATATGGCGCAGATGTTAAAGACAGCTCCCGCGATAAAAGTCTCATGGATAGCTGCTTTCCAATTATGAAATTACGCTCACAATAGAGCGCCAAATTATGAAACAGCAGCTGATAAGTAATCTCCCAAAGAAGAAAACAGGCAAGAAGCGTTCTCCAGAACAACATAAACAAAATCGCTCCCTCACAGTTACACCTCCCTGCGGTCTCTGTGCAGCCCCTAGCTCACAAATCTCTCTATCACATCTCGCAGTAGTTGATATCATCTAGTGCAAAAGAAAGAATACAAAAAGAAAACAACAAAAACGCAGAGGAAAAACTCTGGGAAGGAAAAAGGAATTTTATCAACACGGTGTCTGAATTTGTGATTACGGTAGCGCACCTTTTGTGCGTCGTGGTTTTGCATCACGAAAATTCGTGGTGGAGCCTGTGGCCGGTTCACTGTGTGTTCTGCGTGTTTTTTACGCGTTTCACCTCGCGAAATGGGTTGAATTGAATGTATATACCTCCAATGAGTAAACTGTAATGAAGGAGAGCAGAATTATCCAGGGGCATTAGCAATGCCCGCCGCCCCAACTAAGAACAAGTGAGTGGCCTCCGTCGGAGGACATCTAGCAAGTAAAGGCGGTCCGACTGGAGGAGTTAGAACTAGCACTTTGAGCGGCCTAGTATGTAGCAGCCTCCACGCTCACAATAGAGTCGACGAAAGTGAGACAGTCGCTCCTCTAGCTTGGAGGCTAGACTACTAGCACAGCAAAGGCGAGCACGCAGCCCTTGGATCGGGGGGTCTGTCCATTATTAACCCACTTGCTGCGCGCATACTTTCGCGGCTAGCGTCCACCAGCGACCATCAGCGTTTCGAGCGTCCTTCAGCGTCAGCGACTAAGAAAGTATAGATATCGATCTAGCGAACGGCAGCGTCCACCAGCGTGCATCAGGGACCAGGACCCTCATGGACGGTAGACCGATACCCCCTTTTTTCTAGTCCCTCGAGACGCTGATGGTCGCTGGCAGTCGCTGGTGGACACCGGTTGACGCTGGTAGCGCTGGTAGACGCTGCCGTTCGCTAGACCGATATCTATACTTTCCTAGTCGCTGACTCTGACGGACGCTCGAAACCCGGATGGTCGCCGCTGGACGCTGCCGCAAAGTATAACACAGCCATACACTGTTTGGGAGGTCTTGTCCAATAAATAAAACTCAATAACAGTCACACCACAGTAAATCACATTTACTGACTTTACAGTTCTATTGTGTCTTTAACCTGAGGATACAAGGCTCATGACGCAGCAGATGTTTCAGTGTTCATGCACCCGTTTTCCAAGTGGACTCAGCAAATTCTTCGTCGACGCGTTCGCTTTATGATGACACTAGTCACTTGGGTTCTGAGTATTGCCTCCAATATTCCGTACGCGATTAACACTCGGCTATATCGTTTCAGTGCAACAGCGGCTGCTTGTGGACGAACAGACACGTGGGTTCAGTGCCGATTCTATTATAGGCAGTTCTCAGTGAAAAAAATTAGTTTCAGCTTGCGTGTGTGGGTTACGGTATCGTTCGTGCTCTGGTACATACTGCCGTTGGGCGTGTTGGCCCTTATGTACACCAAAATTGGCATGATGTTGTGGCGAAGTGGCAGTTGTATGATAACCGTCACACGACCAAGCAGTGGTATGTTGCAATCAGTATGGTCTTCGAAAAAATTCACGATCGCGGCGATCGCCACTACCGGACTATGAACACTTTCCAACCAGTCCACAAAGGAAGAGAAACTGAAAGGAATGGCGTGGCCATCAGAGCACTTCCTGCCGTTGGGGAGAAATCTTGCAAGTCATGCAGCTCCCCCTCTCCCCTCTCTCTGAATCTCCTACTCTGGTAGGAGCCTCCTCTCCCCCGATGTTCATTTTACCCCCCTCTCAATTCTCCCTAACTCTTACTACTTTGGAGATTTTTCACAAAATTCAGTATTTCTTCAAAAAAACCCTGCGATAAAGAGCGAAAGGGATGAGGAGGGCTCAGAGACAAGTACGACACTTCTCGCTAGAGGTCCCAAACGACGACGTGCCTGTCTCTATGCTCAAGTTGTCTGCTACTCCGCTGGTGACAACTATCTATCCCAGCCATGCTCACTACGAAGTTCATAAATACTCCCCATCCCCCCCCCCCTCAACGCCGAATACTATATCACTTCTTCTCAGAAGATCGACTTGCTCTTGTGAAAACCTCCTATAGAATGATCAGTTAATTTCGAACACTTCAATCGTGGGGGCTCTGTTTCACACATCTTACTCACCTAGAGCTTTTGCTGATGTATAAATATAAAAATTCCCTGGGAACCCCTCCAGCCTATTTTATTCGTTTACTTCAGAAATTCCTTCGTTTCTAACATTCTCGTCATTTTCCTACTAGTTTTGGGTTCCGTTCGTTAAATGCTGCTTTCCGCTGCCATGGAAATCCTTCCAGGGGTTTTTAATGTAGCGATTCGTAATGTAGCATCCTTGTGATTACTCGTAACTATTACGGCATTCATTTCACTGTGTTCAGATTCGCAAAACACCGCGCATCCGGGAAATTCTTGGCAAATATCTAATGGACGAACGGTTGTCTACAAGCAGGACTCTTTGCTCCAGGTGCCCGACGATCCACAAGTGAAGAAACGTCAGCGAGATTTGACTGAAAGCCGCAGAAAGGTGGAGTATAGACCGCCTGCACTGCACTACACTGACAGCGCCACTCCTGCATGGGTTCGTTGTTGTGTTGTCGTCACACCACGCATGTTCTCTCTCGCACACTCCTTTCCTGCTTTTAACAAAAAACATTATCTGACACAGTTACCTTATGCTTCACTATCCGCACTCCGCTAACATATGTGTCGGAATCGCTGACGAATTCCGCTTTTTAGTGCTTTTTAGGCTATCTCATAAAGATAGTAGTTACCCTGAATGTGGTAAATGAAGGCAAGGTATACTCCAAGAACGGTTTTTGTCATACGAGGCGAATGCCCGCCCCATTTCCGTGGAGTCACCCGAGAAAATGGCACGCTACTGCAACAACAGAACCGTTCTCCCCACAGACAGCAAAACCAGAATCCACCTAGGGGAGTGTACAGTTTGTTTCTGGAGCTCTTCCGGACATCACTCAAGGGTTCGCAGCCGTAGTGGCGAGCCACTCTCCATTCAAATATCATTGGAACTGGACTGTAGGGTTGTACTTTCCGAGTGCCGTCTACACACTACGCCCACGCTATTCTCAGGGTGCAGCACTCGCCTCAATGCCAACGTTCAGCAGCGAAGTACGCATCAGCACTAGAGAACATTTAGAATTGAGAACGCGCAGACAAGTAGCGGCTTTCGTTCAACTACGGCTAGGCGTGTGGCTGGCCGTGCGGCTTGCTGGCGGAGTATGAAGACAGTATCCGGAGATCACTACCTTCAGCCCGTTCTCGTGCTCTCTTGACTGGAGTAAGTGGTACGTCACAGCAACTGTGGAACCGTTCTCCCCATGCATGGGAAGGTCGAAACACCTTCCATGCGGTAGTTCGACCCCGAACACGAAAACCCTATCCGCTCCTGGCAAAGACGCTTGGCTAAGCCCTTGCACTAAAACACCTCGGAATATCGAAGTTGCAAAACCTATCCCGTTAAGTGTTAAGGGAATGCGGAAATAGTTACTCCCACTAGCCTTATGCGAAACGTCCATGCTTACACTCGATTATCCCGGAGATGGTGAGGGCGTAGGCCGATAGTTTCGTTTGGAAATGGCACAGTGCGTCTTCCAGGGACATCCCCCGTCCATTATCGCAGCAGGCTGTTCATCCTGTCTTAGTGATGGACCAGCGACGGGACTGCCCGCCCCTAGTTTTAAGTTCATTGAGAATGGCACAAGATGCGCTTTCTTGGACACATTAGGTTGTTGCATTAGTTTTCCCCCCTGTTTTGATCCTTCCGTATTTCGTTTGCATGGGGTGGTATTTCGTCATCACGTGTGCGTGACGTGTACATGATACTCTTTCACCACACTAGCTATCACTCACCCACCCTGCATTTGCAGGCTACAATGCCGCACAATTACCAGTGCAAAACCATGTCACAGTGGTGATTGTGCGGCATTGTGGCCTTCTTCGGGTCCCAGCCCCCGTCCTTCTGGGACGATGGAATCGACAAGCTGCCTGAGCGTTGGCGTCGAGTAGTGGATGGTGATGGTGCATACCTCTAATCTTCAGGCTGGTTCGCTATTGAGATATTTACAAAAAAGTCGGGGGGAAAGAACTTATGCAACAACCTGATATTTCCATCTGCAGTACGAAGCCACGCCTTCCCCGTCTCGTAGATGTGCAATGTACGTCCGCCACGAGGGCCAATGCCACAGCTAAAGCTGGCTCTTATCATTAGCAATCACGTTCCGTGTGAGACTACCCTCTGGGACGAAGTTTTGATCAATCTGTCTCTAGAATGGATTTCGATCGGAACCTGGATTGAATTACAAAAAAAATTACCTTCTCAAACTTTGAGGAGTTCCATGAAGTACCCTCTTTCTGCTTTTTTTTGCTTTGATGTTTCTAACTGCCTTTCTCCACTAATCGCTGGCTTCAAGAGCATGGTAATCACATGATAGCAGCTTATTTGAAAGAAGTCCTCATAAGCGACGCAAACTAAGGTTCAGCACCTACGCGCTACGCAAACATCATTTCCGCTACTCGCTCAAATTTTAATTTTACACTTTGATTTGCTTTTAGCGCTGCACTTTGCATGCTTATTGATGTTATCGTACAGCTTGTAGGAGATGGTGCCAAGACCTCTGTCGAACATGAACACCCTCCAAAACAGACGCCTGTCTGGAAGACTTCAGCCAACAGAAGTTCCCCAACGCAGCGTGGCACCTAAGGCAGACCTGCTCCTCGAACCATGGCTTCTTAGCTGTGCGCTTCTTGGCTGTGGACCATTGACCACAGCCACCACACCACTGACTCATAGCATTGTCGCCCAGTAGCCATGTGGTTAACTTTGTGATATCCTACACCTAAAAATGCAAAAGCCGCAAAAGTAGGCACAGGTGAGACTTCATTCCGGCTTCATCCATGAGCTGTAACTTCATTACACCCCTCGAGGCTTTGTATGGTTGACAATGAAGGTAGTCAACTTTGAGGCGGGGAGTGAGGGTGGAAAACTGGCCGCTAGGTAGAGCAATTGGAGTACAGCAACGTCCCTCCTTCAGAGAGAATCTCAGGGAAAGGGAGGAGG